TGTAGGCATGGGTGCTAGGGTGTGCCTGGCCACATCTGGTGGGTCTGCAAGCAGACAGCAGCTCGAGGATACAGCCCGGCCCTGGACTGCTGGAGCTTGTCCTGGCTCACCCCAAACCACTGCTGCAGCCTCAGTGGGTCCTCCAGTTCTGTAGGCACACCGAGTATCCTGAGAGTCAGACACCAGCCCCCCGCTCACCTGGCCTCCCTCCCTGGGGGTTCTGCCCAGAGAGTCTCTGCCTGCAGACCTGCCCTGGCTCTTGGCTCTGCCTTGCCAGAACACTCACCACAGTCTGGGCGTAGCTGCTGCCCCATCTACAGATAAGGAACCCTACCCAGAGGCCCCACAATCCAGGCAGAGCCGTGATTGGGACTCAGGGCCAGCATTCCCACTGCTGGCTCAGTGGGGGCAGAACTGTGGCAGTGTGTGCCTGAGCTTGGGTGAGCCTCTGGAACTGGCCCAAGCTCACATGGGGTCAGCATAACAGGTGAAGGCCAGCCCCAGTCCTGGTGTACCAGGAAAGGGCCAGCCAGACATGTCCCAGCAATGTCCCATGGCAGGATTTGCTGAGTCCTGTGACCAAGAGCCTCTTGGGTGCACAGTATAGGGGTCTGCTCTGTGAAGCCCAGGGACTCCTGGAGTCATTCTCAGGCAGTAGCTGAGTGGGGGTGGCCACCTCTGGGTCCCTGTGCACAAGGCCTCTTGCCCATGTGAGCCAGGAGAGGTCCTGTGGTGTCGCTGTCCCTCCACGTGCACGGGGCCTACTGGCTCAACCTTTGCGGGGCTGGGAGCAAATGGCTTCCCAGCTCCCATACTCTTCCAGGTGCAGGAGCTCCTGCCCTGGGGCCAAGATTGAGCTGGACTGAGTCTAGGCCAGGAGACAGGCTTCGTCACTGGTATTTTAAGGATTCTAACAATCTAGGTTTTTTGTTTGTTGAAAAAAAACTAAACAAATATAACAGGTTTACAGAAAATGTGATGCATTGAATGATTTGTGGTTGAGTGCTACGTACTTTCATTGCATGAAAGATGTGACTGGTTGTGTGTGGAGAAGTGGCCTGGAGTTGCCCTGAGGCCCTTCCAGAACCCACAGAGGGGCCAAGGCAGGGCTGAGAGGGAGGAGCCCCCCACCGAGGTCTGTGGCTGGCAGGTCACTGTGCTTGCTTTGCAGTGTGTCTGCCCTGCCATCCCTGCACGGTGGTTTTGTCTGTTTTGACTACCAGTGCTTGTTAGACAGATCCTAGCCCAGCCAGTATCCCGCAGGTTTCATAGCTAGTAATGAAACGTTGACACATTCTGCGGATCTGCTTGTGCTTCTGATCATGCACAGGGCAGGCCATCCCCGTTCTCATCTCCCGGGCTCTGACAGGGGAGTTCAGTGGCTGTCCCCCAGGCTAGAAGCTGCTTCTGTGATTTTAACTGATTGAAAGGTCCTAGAAGGGCTTCCTGCTCCTTCCCTCCGAACTAGTGGCTCTCTCTGTGAAAGTGAGGCTCAGCCCACAGTGACTCAGGACGTGCGTGTTGTGGAGGCATGCAGGAGGAGGTGGCCCACAGGGCTCTGTGGCAAGACGGAGATGTAGGTGGCCCGTGGGGGGGTGGTGCATGGTGTGGACACACCTGGTAGCTGAGTAAGCTGATGTCAGGGCCAGGATGGGGGGGGGGCAGGAGCCCACACAGTTCAGCTGTAGCAGACACCGGCTGTGGAGGCCGGGGTAGGGGCACACACGTGAGCATCGTGCATGTGCATGCCCGTGCGTGGTGGGGCACCTCAAACTCCTGTTTCCTTACCCACATGCACATCAGGTAGTGTCTATACCTGCTCCCGGTGTGGTCAGTGTCCCCCTGGGGCTCAGACTTTTGATCAAACGTTCTGGGTACCTGTGAGGCTAGCTTTTAATCTGTATGTTGAATGAGATGGGCTCCTCTTGGCCTTATTCAATCCAGCCAAGGCCTGAGTAGAACAAAAAGACTCTCCCAGAAGGAAGAGAGAGCTCCTCCCACCTACCCCGTTGAGCTAGGAGGGAGACTTTTCCGGCCCTGGGAAGAGAGCTGCACCCCTGGCCTTCCTGGGTCTCTAGGTTGCCCACAGCAGGGGTTGGGGCATCTGGGCCTCCAGAGCTGTGCAGCTAGCTTCTCCTAGTGAGGCTCCCTGTGTACACGCATCCTGCTGGTCTGCTTCTCTGGGAAGCCCCGGCTGATACACCCCTTATAGCACGTTGCTCTGGTTTTTCTCTGCAGGTCTCTGACCGCAGCCTGCTGGGCCCACCCTCTGTACCACGATGGGGGACTGGGGCCAGGCGGGGACCTCGAGGGTGGGTAGTGTGGTGCTGAGGTTCTGGCAGCCCGCGGCTGGGTGTCAGCGTCCAGGTTGAAAAGGCGAGGACTGTGGGGCCTCATTGTTCTATGGCCTGTGTGGGAGGGAACTGGCTGGTAACAGCAAGATTGGCCCTGGACAGGAGGCCTGAAAGCCATGAGTTAAGAGTGACAGACTAAGGGGGTATGGTGCCCATGTGTCGTGGGGGCACCAGGAGTCAGCAAGTATTAAGTGCCCACGCGTGGAGAATGAGCTACAGTCTCAAGACTTTCTTGTCCCTGGAGGGACTGCCTCAGTTTTCTTCCCCAGGGAACCCTGTGGCTATATGCTGACCAGTGGAGCCAGGGAGGCAGGCACAAGAGGGAGCATAGAGCTCCTCGCCACCTCAGGGTGATTGCACTTGCTGGTCCTCTGGGGAGAGGGGTGTCCCAGGCCCTGCCCAGGAGCCCTCCCTAAGCAGCTCTGACGTGGCCCCTTCCCTTCAGCTTCCTTGCGTGGGCTGCCCTGCTGTCCATTTGAGCCAGCTCCCCTCTGGGCTGCTCACTGGTGCCTGGAGCTGAGCTGGCATAGTTAGTGTTTCCTGCCAGCCTTGTATATGCAGAGGCAGGGAGACCCCCAGAGTCTGCGATCAGCCCGATTGCCATAGGGAGGGCAGGAGCTGGGAGCTCTTATGGTGACCCTCCATCGTCAGGGTGTATGGGGAGCGGCCCCTTTGGGCTGAGATGAGCTGGGGCTCTGAGAGGTTCAGAGAGGCCTGAGGGCATCTGACTGGGACTCCAGGAGGGGCTGCATAAATGCTAGCAGCCTGTGGGTGTCCCTGGGGTCTGATATTCCAGAAGGTGAGCGTGGGAAAGGGTCTGTCCCATGTCTGAGGAGTGAGGATCCACTTGCTACCCTGGCCAAAGCCTGTGGAGCTTTGGGCAGAGCTGTGTGGCCTGGGAACAGCTTAAGAAAGGGACAGCTCCCAACCTTGCCGATGTCCCAGGACAGGTGCCTCTGCAGCCCAGCTCTCCTCTCCCTTTCCTTTGTCCCTCTGTGAGCCCTGGGTAGGGGTGGGGATGCAGGGTGAACCCCTCTTCGTACAGGAGGATGCATATCCAGCCCCTTAGTGTCCCGACAGGTGGGAGGCTCTGCTGGGGCTGTCCTCAGTCTGTGTGACTTGGGCGCAGGCCCCTCAGGAGTGTTTCACCCTAAGAGAGAAGTCTGCCACCTGCAGATGCAGCCCACAGCTATGCATGGTTGCTCCCAACCAGGCTGTGGGGTCACAGCAGGGCAGTCATGCGGCGTCCATGCTGGAAGGGCAGCTCTAGCCTGGCCAGCCGCGTTGGTGCACCTCATCAGTTCTGGGGACTGTGGGCACCTCTCGCCCATCAGGAGGAGCTGTGTGTGTGTGTGTGGGGGGGGCAACTTGCTGTGGCTGCCTGGTGCTAGATTGGAGGACCCCACCCGGCAAGCACAGCGTGTCACCGTCTCCATTGCCGGGGCAGGGGACCACAAAAGGCTGGGGTGTTGGTTCTTCTGTCACTTGCCCACGTAGACTGAGGCCTCTGAGGCTTGGCTGGGGCCAGGTGCTCACCTGAGAACAGAGGCCAGCCCTGGGAGAGGCTGCCATGGTCAGGGCTGGCTGCATTGGCACATCACCCTCAGGTTCTCAGGAAGTACTTCCTGTGGGGACCAGGGAGCATCTCAGCCATGGGCATCACCTTTTCAGGCCCTCCTCCCCTTTCTCTTGGGTGAATACTTTCAGAATCTTCTGGGCCTCTTGCAGCTGGTTCCTTCCCTCTTCAGCAGCTCAGTGGAGACAGTATCTCCCACCCTACTCCATGGACCCAAATAGGAGGCTGGTGGGTGGCATTGCACCTGCTCACTACCAGTAAATGCCAGTCTCTCCTGTGCTCTGGGCTCACTGGCAGGACCACCTCTACACAGTAGGAGCTGTGCACCATGGTGTGGGGACCCCACAGGGCGTGCGAGACCCCCCCCACACACACACACTATTGTTGGCATTAGCACAGCAGTAGGTGCTCAGTAAATACCCCCTGGGTGTCACTCCCTGCTTTGGGACCAGGTGCAGCTATGATCAAAATGGGCACAGGTCCCCATTCTAGGGAAGGGGTCTAGCGTCCCTGAAGTTCTGCACAGCTGGCTGAGTCAGGGACTGGTTTCCCAGATAGGCCTCCATAGTGTCAGGATGCCCGGCCGCATGAAGTTGGGCAGATCAACCCATGGGTGGCTCTAGACCAGGGGATAGTAGTCAGCTGCTATGGCAATGGCCCTCAGCTCAGGAACCCAAGGGGTACCCCTAGGAAGGCCAGCACAGCTGTTGGTCTCAGCACCTGCTCCAGTTTGGGTCACGGATCAGCTCCCCCACCCCACCCCCCGTGACCGATTGGGACCCCTTGGGAAACATAGCCCCTGGTCCAGTTTTGTTTCCACATCACTCTCTCAGCCCTCTAGTCCTGACAGGCCCACTTATATTCACCTGACCCATCTGCCCATCTTCCTGAGGTGTGAGCCCCAGCCTGACTGCTTACTCAAGGGCTTGGCACCTCTAGGTAGGTGCCGACACACGCCCAGGGACCCACCCTCAGGGCACAGCATGGTCTGTGTGGTGTCACTGGTGGGTTAACACAAGGGGGTCATGCATCACTGCCAGTTAACCAGCTTTGTCTTTCCTCACTCACAGAAGGACATGGCCCTGAAGCCACAGGAGCGCAAGGAGAAATGGGAACGTCGCCTTGCCAAGAAGCCCCGCGAGGCAGAAAACTGCCCATCTGCAGAACCAAGTGAGAACGGGCATCCCCTGGAGATTGGCAGCCCCGAGCAGGACCTGGAGCCTGCCTGCGACCGGGGAAAGAAGAAGGTCCCGCTGCAGCCCACCAAGCAGGTGAGCACTGGGCCCTGCCCCCACTCAAAACTGTGGGCTCTGTGCCCTCTCCCCTGGGTGCCCTTGGGGCCACCCCAGCACCTGGACACCACCATCGGCATCTGGGCCCGCCTGGCAACGTGCTCCATTGTTGTTGGGCGTAGGGATTGAGGTACATGTGGACTAGGGCCCAAAGCAGCTGCTCGCCGTGAGCCCAGGTCCCGAGCAGATAGGAGACTGTTCCCTGGGGGGTCGCACAGCCAGAGAGGCCAGCTGAGAGCCCAGGGATTTGGTGGGGAAAATGTACTTGGGGCAGGAGGGTGCACCCGCTGATAGGCTGGCCCCGTCTCCCCATTGCGTCTGTCAGGCTCCGCCGACCACGGAGTGTCCAGCGTGTCTGTAATGTGTGGGGCCAGGTTCAGCATTGGGTGTTCTCCATCTGCTACACTTCTGTAGGATACAGCATGTGGGGGGATCACGTGACTCGTGGTCAGGGGTCCAGGTGCAGGGAGCAGCCCTACCCAGGGGCCTCCCTCCACAGCGGCCCCCAGCCGGGCCCTTGGTGGGAGGGTTGTCCTTGCTGTCACCAGAGCCCTGGAGGTCCCACTGCGGGGGGGGGGGGGGGGCTCTCTCCCAGGTGCCGCTGCTTTCCTTCTCAGGGACTCATGGTTTGCGCCTTCTTTTCAGAGAGGGGTTTTTCTTGGCATTTCACACTCTACAGTCAACTCCTGTGGGGATTGGGCTGCTGGTGAGGGGGCAGCATGTCTCAGGGGCCTGGGCTGGTTGGGGGGTCTGCAGGCACACTTGCCCAGGTGGACACGTGCTCTTTCTTCCATGCAGGTGTGCTCCCCAGAAGGGGGGCCGCTCCCAGCCAACTGGGACCCGAACGGCCCGGCCCAGCGCCAGCAGCAGCTCCAGCCCAGCCAGCCCCAGGGGTCACTCCCAGCCCCGTGTCAGCGCTGCCAGCCCCGTCGGGCTCTCCCGGACCCTGGGCAGCCCTGCCAGCCCCAGCGGCCACTCCCGGGTCAGGGCCGTTGGCCCCAGCGGTCACTTCTGGGCCCGGGTCAGCCCCGCCAGCCCCGGCGGTCACTCCTGGGCCCGGGCCAGCCCCGCCGGCCACAGCAGCTGCTTCCAGCCCCAGATCAGCACTGCCGGCCACAGCGGCCACTCCTGGCTCAGCCTTGCCGGCCACGTTGGGCGCTCCTAGGCCCTAGGCAGCGCTCTCGGCGCCTGCGCTCCCTGCTCGCCCCATGGCAGCGCTGCCGGCCCCTGCGTTCCCTGCTGACCCCGTGGTACCGCTGCCGGCCCCTGCGCTCTCTGCTGGCTCCCTGGCAGCGCTGCCGGCCCCTGCGCTCCCTGCTGGCCCCCTGCCACCTCTGCCGGCCCCTGCGCTCCCTGCTGGCCCTCTGGCACTGCTGCTGGCCCGTGCGGTCATGGGTGGCCCCCTGTGTCCGTAGCCAGCCCAGCAGGGCAGCCTCAGGACAGCGGTGCCGACCCCCACAGTCACTCCTCTTGCTGCGTCCACGCCGCCGGCCTGCCAGCTCACTTTCAGGCCAATGCTGCTGTCCCAGGAGGGTGCCCCTAGCCTCATACCAGCCTCGGAGGTCCCTCCTGGGTCAGCCTAGCCGCCCCAGGGGGTCCCTGCTGGGCCTCAGTCAGCCCCAGCAATTAGTTGAAGCCCCAGAGCACCCTGGCCCCCCAAAACCTTCCCTCCTGGGCCCTGGACAGCCGTGCCAACAAAAGCGGCTGCTCCTTGGCCCAGAGCAGCCCTGCCAGCCCCTGAAGTCCCTCCTGGGCCCCAGCCAGTCCTGCAAACCCCAGCCTTTGCTCCCCATCCCTGAGCGCCCGTCGCTCCTGGGCCGGCCAGGCCCACCCCGCCGGCCCCTCCTGGGGCCCCCAAGCCAGCCACGGCGGTCACTGCTGGACCTGGTTCGGGCCCATGAGCCACAGCTATCACTTCTGGCCCTGGGCCGGCCCTGCAGGCCCCTGAGGTCACGACGGACTCGATCCTCCACCCCTGCAGTGGCCCGCCAGGCCCCATCCGTCAGTCCCGGAGCCTGACACCCACTTCCTAGACTACTCTGGGTGGCTGTGCAGGCACATGTATTACCAGACTCACTGGCCGGAGGCCTTCTGCAGACAGTCCAGGCTGTTTGTGGTTGGAAACTGAGGCTTGGCAGAGGCAGCCCCTGCAGGGCTGCCACCAGGCTGAGGCCCATCTGCATCAGGAAGAGAGGAGAGGACCTCCCCAGCATCCTCCCAGCTCCCTGCCATGCCTGTCCCCATTGTGCCCGCCGCTTTGTATGCGCACCCTCCTAGGAGAGTGATCACGGCTAACCCAGGGGCCCGGGCGCACACTGGAGGATCCCTCTGTGTCTGTGTGCCTCAGAAGTACGTGAGAGCTCTTGTGCACGCCTACATGGGTGTGCGTCCCTGCAAGTGTGTGCGGATGTGTGTGCGCATGTGGGGGCTGCCAGCCGCAGGCCTTGCCCTCCCTGGGCCTGAATCTGTCTGGCCTGTGTGCATTCCATGCCCCTAGGCAGAATGAGGGTCAACTGGAGCCTGGCCACAGGGTCCCGCTCACCTCCCTCTGGCAAAGGGTGACGTCGCGCGTCCACCTCCAGGGTTCTGTGAATGCAGGGAGGGGACAGACACAAGGGGCGCTCAGGGCTGTCTGTGGCCGAGTAGGAGCTGCTAGTGACAAGGAGGGCCGTGCCCCAAGCTCTGGACCGGGAGGGCTGGGGCCGTTCTTGGAATGCCTCCTCCTGGGCTCCACTCAGCCCCTGCGGCTTTCAGCTGTTGCCCCTGCCCCCCAGGAGGTTCCCTGTGGGACAGACCTCACACTACAGGGGTTTTCTGCCCTCCGCCCATCCCTCACCCCAGATCCCAGGCTCAGGGCAGTCCCACACTGGTGCTCAGCTCTGACCCTCCAGAATTTGAGGGTCTCTGGGGCAGGGGGTTGCAGCCCTTTCTAGAGAGCAGCACCAGCCACCTGGTGGGGGCCCTGGCGGGGCTTCAGCAGCTGTTTGTGTGCCTAGTCTCACTGGGCTGCAACAGCTGCTCCAGTGCTGATCCCATTCTTGGAGGCCTTGGAGGCACCCCCTACCAACCCCATTTGCTCATGAGGTTGCTGGCCCTCCAGGGTCCCCACTGGCTGGGTGTGGGGGCTTCCCTGCTGCGCAATGCCCAGAGCAGGGCCTGCAGGCATCTGGTCCTAACCCAGGGTCTCCCAGAAATGTGGGGCTTATTTTTCTGATTAAAGAAAATAAAAAGTGCCGTGCCATTATTTTTACGACAGCAGCAGCGAGTGTGTGTCATATGTGAAATGATTTATTGTGACAAGTGGTTTTGTGCGTATCTGGATTTGCCTCCTGTTCACTGTGTTCCTCCTGTGTGGCAGGAAGGCAGCCTAGGGAAGGGGTGCCCAAGGAGGGGTGTGTGGCCTGGACACAGCTCACCATGCTATGTGGTGTGTGTTCGGGGGGGTCCGCACTCGCCATAATCCTCCAACTGTCTTGGCAAGCCCTCATGTCCTGCCATGTCCCTCGGAGCTCCTGCTCAGGAAGGGGTCACTGCATGCTGCACATTTGTCACGGACTCCTGGTCCCCCACTGTCCCCTCTTTCCTTCCCAGAACCCTCCTGATCTGAGGGTAGCAGTATTGGGATCTTTGCCGCCTTGGTCCCATGGGCGAGCCTGGTGGGTGGAACTGGTGCAACCACTGCCTTTCCAGGCCCTTCTGCACTTAAGGACCTGAGTGGGGGAAACAGAATAGGGCGCTGGTCAGCGGGAAAGGGTGGAAGACCGTAGCCCCCTGTCAAGGCCCACTGCTTCCCCAGGCGGAATGGCCCCACCATGAGTGAGCCTGGTGGTGCCCTTGGTCACCACCCCCGCCCCTTCGTCCCCTGCATACTTGCTGAACCATTTGAACCCAGAGGGGCCCCCTGGGGTCACGGCTGGCCCTGGGTTCAAAGAGACTGGACCCTGAGGGTGTGCATGCTGGAGAGGCACCCACTTGGTATGGGGGACTAGACCACATGTGCCATGTCCGGGGGCGGGGGCATAGCCACCCTTATTGCTGACAGGAGAGCAGGGTCCTGTATGGTCTCTGTTTCTGAGAGCAGCTGGTCTTCTATGGATCTGGAGATTTTGAAATGGTGGCTCATTCTAACATTAGGAACCACCTCGCTAGCCAAAGAACACAGCTGAATGGCCATGTGTGGCCTGGGGGGAGGGGTTTGGGCCCTAACAGCTTATGTGGTCCCAAGGCTAGAGGTGGGGGTTGTGGCCCGCCCTGTCGTGGGGAGAATGGGGGCAGGATGAGTCCTTAGGGTGCTGTGGGTCTTAGGGAGGCCCCTGGATGGAGATGGGAGCTGGGTGCAGTGTTCTGCTGGGGTCTCCCTCCAAGCCCTGTAGCCCACCCTACATAAGTCCCCTGCCTCTACCTCCCTGTCTGCAGATGGGGCCCTGAGGAGACCATGCCTGATTGCTGGTAGATGGGTGAGAAGCAAGGGGTGTGGTGGTTCACAGGGGGGAGGGGGGGAAGGAGAACCCTCAGGGTGCGCCCTGCAGAAGGTGGGAGGGGAGGGTCCTGGCACTCAGCTAGGATGCCCGGTCCAGGGTTCCTGGGAGGAGCTTGTCTGCGCCATGTACACGTCCGGGTGTGGACGTATATGCTTCTGCCTTCTGCCGAGTGTGGCCGTGTTCTTTGAGCAGGCTCCAAGCTCAGGTGGAACGCCAGCGCCGTCCTGACACGTCCCGCCCCCTCACATGGAAAGCCCAGGGCGGAGGAGCCCTTGGACTGCCCCAGGCTCGCTGACCGAGGATCCTGCCAGCACCTCCATCACTGGGTACTGCTCCAGGCACTGAAGAGGCATCCTGACCGGTGTGGACCAGCCCTGCCCCGTGGGGCTCTGCTCTAGCAGACACACAAAGTGGCTCCATCACCATGGAGTGTGTTAGAGGGGCTGGCACGCCTCCACCTACACCGTTGCTCAGCTGGGCTGGGGAACGGGCCAGCCA